TTAACTTCTCTTCTAACAAATGTATTCATAGAAGATAAAGAAGAGAAAGAAATAAAGAATTGATAATTCTCATATCTCTGAGTTTATATTACAATCATAATAAATATCTCAAATGAGAAGATATTAATAAGATGTTTACTTGACTCTGAGATAAATATCAACTTCATATTCTATTTCTTTTCTTTAATGAAGAATTGAAAGAAGATAGATCTGTCAGATCATATGAAATTTACTAAGAAAATAAAATATCATCATTTTAACATAATTGAAGCAAAGTATGTGATCACAGACTTAGAAGAAATCTTCAAGAAGAGCAGTCTGCTTCTTCATACAGTTAATAACATAGATGAGAATATCATTCTAGATCTTCTGTGATTAAGAGATCATAATTCTCTTATTAACTGAGTTACTCAGACATGACAGTATTATCTCACTAATGAAGAGACAGTAATAGAGAAATCTGAAGAGTTTTATTGAAAGAATCACTGAGACTTGAGAATAGATAAAGAAGTCATCACTCTCACTGTAAGATTGGCAGCAGTATTTATTATTAAAGACAGATATATACAACATCTCTTTACAGATTATAAGAATGTCTTTTTGAAAAGAGAAGTTGAGAAGTTTTCTGATATTAAGATATGAAATAAGATTTATCTTGAAGATGATGAAACAGTACTGTACAGATCTCTTTATAACTTATCTATAAAGAAATTAGATGTTCTGCACCAATATCTTGAGAAAGCATAATTAAAGAACTGAATATACTCATCAAAGAGTTTAGTAGAGACACTCATACTATTTTTACTTAAGAAGAACAGTAGACTACATCTATACATAGACTTCAGAGGTCTCAATAAGATGACAGTTAAGTATCACTATTCACTACTGTTAATTAATGAGATGATTGATTGATTATCTGAAGCAAAGATATTCTCAAAGATTGATATACAGAATATCTATCATAGAATCAGAGTTAATGAAGATGATATTGAAAAAACAGCTTTTTATATTAAATACAGTAATTTTGAATATCTTGTTTTATCTTTTAATCTTTATAATACTTCAGCCATCTTTCAGATCTATATAAATGAGACACTGTAAGACCTTGTTAATGTCTTCTGTATAGTTTGCTTGAATGACATTCTAATCTTCTCTAAAACAGAGAAAGAACATGATATTCATGTTTGAGAAGTATTGAGTCACTTAAGACAGCATCAACTCTATATAAACACTGAAAAATACTCATTCTACATATAGAAGATTGATTTCTTAGATTATATTATTGAGATTAACAGCATTTCAATGAACAGAAGTCAGGTCTCTGTCATTGAAAACTGACCAGCACTGCAAATATATCACAAGATGCAGATATTTCTAGAATTTGTAAATTTCTATAGATAATTTATCTATATATATTCACAGATTACTGTTCTTCTTACTGATCTGTTAAAGAGAAGTGTGAAAGACAGAAAAACAGAACTGTTTATTCTCACTTAAGACACTGTGCAGATATTTACAGAATTGAAACAAGCTTTTACAGATATCACAATACTGAATCACTTTAATTTCAACTTACTCAGTCAGTATAAGACTGATATATCTGAGAACAAGATCTGTGAAATCTTTTCACAGTTGATACTGAAGACCATTCAATATTAAAAGAATCAGTGAATAATAAATTCTGAGAATACAGATAATGAAATATCTGTGAGAGAAGACTTTTTCACAGAGTCTATAAGACATTATAAATAAAGATCAGTCATCTTCTTCTTTCAGAAGTTTTCACTTATGCAGAGAAGATATAATACTCATGATTAAGAGATATTAGTAATTGTTAAATTCTTTAAGATCTGACAACATTATCTTCAGAATAGTAAGTACTCAGTGTAAGTTCTTACTGATTATATAAATCTGTATTACTTCTTAACAACAAAGAGCTTGATAGAATATCAAGCAAGATGAGTAGAGCTGCTTTCAAAGTATGATTTCTATATCTGATACTGTTCAGGTCAGCTTAATTTCATCAACATACTGTTTAAATAGTCTGATTATAATATTATTAATGTGAAGAAGAATTCTATAAAAGAATCTCTGTCATCACTGCAGATGAAGCTGGCTGCAGAGAATTGAGATTCTCTCAAGCTTGAAAACAGTATCAGTAAGATAGCTGTGTGACCCAGTATAGAAGATAAAAGAAAACTCGGATTCTTACAGAGAAGTGACACTGAAGATCATAAGCTTCTTATATTATATCTTACTATCATTGAATTAACAAAGAATGAAACAGTCTACAATTCTTCAACTCAACTACTTTTGAAATTTATTAATAAATTATAGAAGAGAGATATCTCTACTACAGCATAAATTTAAAAGTTGAAGAAGAAAGAATCTAGTTTGAACTTGAAAGAGACAGACTCTGAGTGAGATGATATCACTAAGGAATTAAGTCACTGATAACTAGAAGAATATGAATTTTCACTACTGAATGATTCAGTCTTCATCTCTTATGGCAGAACAGTGTATCACAAGTTATTGAGAATTCATTATAATGATTATTATACAGAACACTTCAGATTAGAGAAGACTGAGAAGCTTCTAAAATATAAATATGTTTGAGATAAGCTTCAGACAGATGTCAAAGAGTATGATGAAACTTGTAATATCTATTAAAGAATAAAGAGCTTATAGTATAAATAATACAGTGAGTTGATATCACTCTCTGTTTCAAAGAGCTTATGACAGAATCTATCAATGAATTTCATAGTTGATCTGCCAAAGTCAACAAGAGTCAAAGAATATAACTCAATTTTGATCATTATCAACTGTTTCACAAAGATAATAAAATATATCTCTATTTATAAAAAGATTAAAGTCCCTGAATTAACTCATCTGTTTTTAGATATCATTATTCATGATCATAGTGCTCTGAAATTATTGATAACAGATTAAGAATCTCTCTTCATCAATAAATACTGATCAGCTTTTTACTATCATTTTATAATAAGATGTCTTCTCAGCACTGCATTTCATCTGCAGACAGATGATCAGACTAAACATCAGAATCCGACATTAGAACAGCATCTTTAAGCATTCTATTTATATTATCAGCATGATTGACTCAAACATCTTCTGACTGCTGAGTTCATATATAACAATGTAAAGAATGCAATCTTAAAAGTATCTTCTTTCTATACTTATTATGAATATAATTCTTCATTACTCAGTGACATCACAGACAACATTTCAAAGAGAGAAATAGACAGTCAGAATATTAAACAGGTACAGAGAATAGAGTACTTCTCAGTATCAGAAGTAAAAGTGAGATTGAAACTTTTAAATAAAATTTATAAGAAGATGATGAAAAGTATTCACTGCACTCAGAAGCAGCAGATAAAATACTATAATTAAAAACATCTATCAATGAGTTCTTGATAGAGAATCAAGTACTACTTTCAGCAAAGAATATCAAGATAATAAGACTGTATAAGAAGCTCAGTAAGTGATGACTAGAATCTTTCTCAGTAATAAGAGTAATGAGTAAACAAATATATGAGTTGAAATTATTCTCAGAATTGAAATCAATTCATCCTGCTTCTCACATTTTCTATTTAAAGGTCTATAAGTAATATCTCAGAGCAGAGCCACCTCAGTCAAATAATATTGAGATCAAGAATGATACTGAATATCTTATGAAGAAAATATTGAATAAGTGAATATATTATAGCAAGCTTCAATATCTTGTTAAATAAGAAGATTATTCATTATCAGAGAATTCATGAAAATCACTTAAGCATTTGAAAAATGCTGAGAAAGAAATTGCAAGCTATGAGACACCTAGTAGAGATTATCTCATTACATGTCAGAGACATTGAGGAAGAAATATCACTTAAGAGTTCTCATTTTTCTCAAAGAAGTTTTTTAGAGATAATCTCATGATAATAAGCTGATATCTTGTGAACTCTGTATAGACTGACCGTGTGACTGTGTCTGGAACCGGGATCAGAATGTTTGATGCTCTCATTATCAATTCAACTAATCTCATTATATAGTTTTAACATTAGATAGTAGTCTTATACTGTCTCAGTGAGACTTACTGTTTACTCTTATGTAAGAATAAGTGCTCGCAGGCGATTATTCAGGTGTTTGCAGCTTGGCGTGATATGTACTGTTAACTACTAAAAGTATTCACAGTAGGAAGATAAAATGTAGAGATCAAATATATAATAGCATTCAAGCTGAGTTGTGAATAGTATTTACAAACTCCAGACTATATAGTTGTATGTAGCCAAGGGCCGCTAGCTCTATTGATTACACAAGAGATAGAAATAGAGATAAAGAATCTGTAAGAAGTGAGATTTCTAATATATCTCTCTCTCTCTAAGACTTCATCTGTGAAGCCTTTCACTGAGTGACTTCATAGAATCAGCTTAGCACTGCAGTGATACTCACTAAAAACTCTTCACATCTATAAAAAATCTTAGTGAGGAAAAATCTCTTATTACTGTGAAGAGAAAAGAGTCTGTCACTTAGTTTCTTATTCTGTGAGATTCTTTATAATCTACAGATTCTTCTCTGACTATCACACAGATTCATCTCACATCTTTCATATAGAAGAGTTCTGATTGACTCTCAATCATTTTCACAAGATTCTTGAGTGATCATCACACAGATTCATCTTACAGATGAATCACTCTCTGTGAGATCATCTCTATCAAGAAGAAGCATTTACAAGTTGATCTTTCACTCATTCTTATAAATCATTGTTCTTTGACACTGTAGAATTGTGAGAAATTTTTCATTCTTTCATCAACTCTGTAGAATTATAGAATTAAGATATTCACAGTCTGTAATCACTCTTTATAGTTATATAGAAAGATTCAGATCTATGATTCATAATTACTCTTATTTACTAGAGTGATCTGACTGTTCTATGAGATCACTCACAGTGTAAGTAAACCTCTCTAGAGTAGTATAAATATCCCAGATCTGTTTATAAAACTTTATCTTCTTTTTTCTTTTTCTGTAACAGCTTTTATTCTTATAAACTGTGTCATAAATACAGACAACCGCTCCACCACGAACTCGCTCGATTTTTCGAATAAGAACCCGCCGATAGATCCATCGAAAAGCCCTCGATCATACGAGCATTTTGACCCCATCGCCGACCGCATACCCCGTGTGGTGGTGGAGTTATCCAGCCAAACGTGAACCAGACGTCGTTCGAAACTCCTGTGTGGGACTATCCCCCATTCCCCCCTACCACACCACAACCCCGGGCCAAATTGCCATACAAATTGTAAGGTGAATAGACCTAGCCATATGCACCAATCTTCTCGATTTTGGAAGATCTCCGATCTGTAGTTGTGGAGATATCTGAGGAGCGACCTCCGCGAAAACCCTGCCCACCTTTGATGTTCCAAAACACCAACGCCAAGTCCCACCCTCGTACCGCCCTTCCTAATCTGGCCCATCCCCGGCAGAAAAATACAAAAAGATACCTCGGCGATAATATCAAGCACATAATCAACAGCCACTTCTGAAGTGCAACCTCCGCGGTCTGTCTTCAGTGTATCGTATCTAGACATCAACGCCAAGTCTCACCCTTGTACCACCCCTCTCAACCTGGCCCATCCCCGACAGAAAAGTACAAAAAGATACCTCAGCAACTGTACTCGATACATAATCGGCAGACACAACAACTATAAAATCAGTATACCCCAAGGTCTGACTGAGCCTTTGATCCCTGCACAGTGAGATATATTAAATCTAGTTTTAATACCTCAATATTCAATAGATTCTGCAAGAGATTGAGAACAGCAATACTAGGTTTCTATTGAATTTGAGAATTAACTCTATATTGATATAATCATTGACAAAGTCTTCTATTTTGAGATATAAATAACCAGTTCCTCTACATCCCGCTGGCAATATTTACATTATTATATAGAAACAGACTTATATTCTCTATAATATCAAGACTCTGAAGAGGGAAAGTCTTGATAGAGAGTATACAGTAGTGTATATCTTAGCAGTTTCTATCTCATTCTTCTGCAGCAGTTAATGCAATAAAAAAAAGATCTTAGAAATAGTTTTTTACTTCTCTTGAAAAAGTAAGGTGTTTTTCTCTGGGTTTTACACAATATTCTTACAAAGAATTAAAAACAGAGTTGTTTTCTGTCATAATTTCATATTCTTTTAAGTAAGAATTACTTTTTCAGTGACTGAAGAGCTTTCATTAATACTTAATTCTCTTTTACACTCTTTATTGACTGATTTGAGTTGCACACTTGTTGTGTGAGGAGAATTGAATGATTCAGAATAAAATTGAATAGTTTTAATCAATTTCTCTGCAAAAATTTGACTTATTTTTTGTCAGTTTTTCTCTCAAAAACTGTCATATCATCTGATTTATTATCAATTGATATCATACTTTTCCTCACTGTATCCCAAGAAAGAGTTTGTAAAGATTTTATTAATTTATCTTAAAAATCACTTTTAGTTTATTAGATTCTCTTCAAAAATCTAACCTAGTTACTGAACTAGTGTGAAAAAAATCAGGTGTTTTATACACAAAAGTCTTTCATTCTTCTTTTGAAATAGTCTGACCAACTTTTCAATTGAAAATAGACTAATAAATCTCTCAACTGAAACAGTCTGACCAACTTTTCATTTGAAAATAGATTAATAAACCTCTCAATTGAAACAGTCTGACCAACTTTTCATTTGAAAATAGACTGATAAATCTCTCAATTGAAACAGTCTGACCAACTTTTCATTCAGTGAGTAAAATGAGTTTAAGAGTACACTCAGTTGATGTGGAAAAAGATGTTTTCCCAGATGCTGTTCCTGAGATTGAAATTCTAAAGAGAAGAAAGAAGGAAGAAATAGAGAAACAACAAGTTCTTGAAATACAGAAACTGGAAAAAGCAAGCAAAATTCTTAGAAAACAGTGTCTGAGTGAGGAGAATGAAGAAGTTCTGTTTATTCTTCATGCTCAGGCTAGACAACTACAAGAAGTGATCAAGTTCAAACTTGGAATTTCAAACACAATTCAAAAAACATTGAAATCTTCCAGTACAGTCACTGACTCTTTTTCATCTTCTACTTCTTCATCTTCTTCTTCAAATCAGAAAAAAACATATGCTCAAGTAGCAGAATCTGCTGTCTTCAAACCTGCTAGTTCAAAATCTGCTCAAAATTCTGAGAAAACTGAGAAGAATATTTCTCAGACCTCTGTTCATAGAAAGGAAAAAAAAGAAATGCAAAAAGAAAAGAACTTTCAAATCTTCAGAAACAGAAGACTTATTCTCAAAGTCTCAAATCAGAAGAGCTTGCAAAAAAACAAGCTAAACTCAAATCTTATCTTCAGAATTAGAAATGAAATTAACCAGCAGTTCTTTTCTCAGTTAATGACTGATATTGAAGTTCAAAAACCAGTCATAGCTTCAATTGAGCCATCTTTCTTTGGAAACTCTATTATTTTGACTACAATGCCTGAATTCAGTGCAGAATTCCTCATTCAGAATGAGAATCTCTGAAAATCAGCAATAGAATCTCTACTGAATACAACAATTCTATCTGAAAGAGATGAAAAGTGAGACAAATTCATTCTTCATGATATTCCAGTTGAAATTTTTGACTGTGAGGAAGGAATGCTGCTTCTCAAAAATGAATTAGAAGAATACAATTCTATTCAACTGAGAAAAGAGCCTGTATGACTTAATTCAATTGAGTTCAGACAGAGCAGAAGAAATGCCTCTGTTCTAGTGTATATAAAAACACTTGAACAGTCAAGAATCTCTGAAGTAAGAGTAGCAGGTTTGAAAATGAGAGTTCATGAATACAAAGATTCAAGAATGAATCTCAAAGCTCAAACACAGTGTTCAAACTGTCAAAGATATGAACACTTTGCAATCTCTTGTTTCAGAGACTTGAAATGCGCATTCTGTGCTAGAGATCACAAAACTAGTGAGTATAAATATGAAACATGCTCAAAAAGAGGTGAAATATGTTAATATACTCTGCTTAAGTGCTTCAATTGCAAAGAAAAACATGCATCTAGCTCAAAAGAATGTGTATTTACTCCAAGAACTCAGAAGAACTGGAGAAAAGATGAAGCTCAAAGTGAATCTAAAACTGAAGAGAAAAGTCAAGCCAGTAAATTCACAACTGCAAGCTTAAAAAGAAGAAACTCTCAACAATCTAGGTCTTCAAACTTCAATTCTTCAGCTAAATATAAACAGAATTTGAATTCTCAAACATCTGTTAAGATTAGAGAATTGAGAAATGACTCTGATGATAAACTAGATAGAATGCAAGCAGTTGAGATTCCTGCTTTTCAAAATAGTTATAATCTACTATCTGGTGATAGTGATTAGATTCTACTATATCTTCACTCTCTTTTAGTATGAATGTACAATAAAAACAACAAAAAAAGTTTAAAAACTCTTCAAAAATCACATTTATTCAAAACAATGTGAATAGAAACTCAAATTGCATTTATTCTTGTCTTCAGATTGTATTTGAATAAAAAGTTAACTTTGTACTTCTTCAAGAATCAAACTTTGATACTGAGTAAAAGTACATCATTTCTCATTCAAGCTATTACTACTTTCTTTCAGAAAAATCTGAGATAAAATCAAGAGTAGCAATCTATGAGAGAAAAAGATCAAGATATCAATTTAATCTGAGATTTGATATCATATCTGACTCTGACATTCTAGTGAGTGACATTATAGATAAAGATAATGAGTTTGATACTATTCAACTTATAAATATCTATAATGAAAAATCATTGAAAGAAAACAACAATACCTGGACAATTGATAGAGAATTTTTGAATATAACTCTCTTAAAAAACTCTATAATTACAGAAGACTTCAATACACATCATCTCTGATGAAACTCAGAGTGTATAAGAGCAGTAAGAGCAGATAAACTGGTTGAATTAACTTTTGAGCATTTAATAGATTTAGTTAACAAGTCTGATCAACAAACATTCTTTAGAAAAGGCATGAAACAGAAATCTATTATAGATCTAACTTTCATGTCACAAAATCTAATTGAAAAAAGACTTATAAACTGATTTATTGATTCAAATGAAACCTCAGAATCAGGTCATGAGATTATTCAATTTAATATTGAACTGAGTGAAAAACAAAGAAGTGAAAATCCTCTTCTCTCTAATCAGTATAACTTTGAAAAAGCTGATTGAAAAGCAGTTGAAGAAAGAGTAAAATAGCTGAAATCTGAAAGACAGAGTGAGCTCTATTGAAATCAAAGTCAAGATATATCAAATGAAATGCTTGAGAATAGAGTAAAGCTGATTACATCTATTTTTCTAACAAGTATTGAAGAAAATATTTCAAAGAAAAAGTCTTCTGAGTATTCTAAACCTTGATGAAATGAGAATATCACTTCTAAAAGAAAGCAATTAGTCACTGCTAAGAGAGATTGAAAGAATCACTTAATATCTGATGAAGAGTTCAAAGCTATTCAAAATGAATATTTTTCAGATATTAAAAAAGTCAAAACAGATTGCTGGAACAAATTTCTTGAAGAAGCATAAGAAAAAGAAGTTTTCAAAGCCTTTAACTATACTAAAACAAGAAGTGTAGCAAAGCTTTCAACCTTAGAATATGAATTTCAGAATGAATTATATACAGCAAATTCTTTTGAGGAAAAATATTAAGCTTTTATGAGAATTCTCTTTCAAAACTCATCACATTTAGAAGAGGAGAATATGTCATTTCATGAATATATTGATGAAAATAACTGAGAATGGCCTGAGCTTATATATGATGAACTAGAGTCAGTAATATTCTTAAGTTCAATTAAAACTGCTGCAGGGCCTGATTCAATTAATCACTCAATTATTTAAAACACATATTTCTACTTGAAGAATGAATATTTTGAGCTCTTTTTCAATCTCTTAAAAAATGATTATCATCCTGAATGCTGGAGAGAAGCTACTGGAGTAATCCTTGCAAAACCTAATAGAAAGGCTTCAATTCCTAAGTCATATAGAGTAATATCTCTGTTGAACTGTTTGGAAAAAATTCTAGAAAAGATAATAGCTACTAGATTATCTTTTATAAGCTCTATTAGTAATTCTCTTCTATTTAATGAATAAATGAGAGGTAGAAAACAATGTTCTGCAATTGATACTGTTCTCTCAGTTATTCATGATATTCAAGTAGCAAAGCATGAAGACCTGGTCTCAATTGCAGTTTTTATTGATATACAAGATGCATTTGATCATATGTCAAAGTCTAAGATGATTCAAACTTTGAAGATGTTAAAACTGTCACTTTCTCTAATAAAATGAGTCAATTGTTTCATGTCTAAAAGAATTATACAACTATTCTTTGATGGAAGAAAACAAGATAAAACTGAGATAAAAATAGAAGTATTATAAGAATCTTCAATCTCACCTGTTTTATTTGCAATATACACTGCATATCTATTCAAGAATAGAGAGATGAGAATAGTGAGATCTTCAAGTTATGTAGATGATATTGATCTACTCTACAGTTCAAAGACAATCAAAGAGAATTTAGAAGTGATTGAGAAAGCAGTAAAGAAA